AAAGGTAAAAAAAAAAAAAAACCATCAACAACTTCTGCCTGCAGCTGTATAACTTAATTAACTTAAATGAAATGTACCCTTGATGTACTTAATGTAAACTTGCTCTTGAAGGTACCATTGTAAGAAAGCTGCCACGAAAAGTTGACGTTCTGGAGGGGGAAAATGCAGCCTTCTGTGTGGAAGTGGAGGAGGAGGAAATGGACATTCATTGGTACAAAGATGGAACAGAACTAAGGGAGACCCATCAGACCATTCTCAAATCCTTTGGAAGGACACACATCTTGGTTTTTGTCAACACCACACCACAAGACTCTGGTAGGGTCATGTTCTATGTGGGTAGATCGAAGACGTCATCGCAGCTACGAGTGAAAGGTAAGAAAACATTTGTTTGAAATTAATAATACGTAAACACACCTATTCCAGAATGTGCAAATGTGTTCATTTTCAATTAACCTCTTCTTCTCTTGTGCGAATTTCAGCTGCAAGGCACTGTCCACCAAGCTGTCCTATCGGGGTACAGATAAACACAGAACGAGCAAATGCAGCTCTCCTTTCCTGGTTTCCAGCACAAGACTCTCGGAAGAATCCACCTTCAGGGTATATAATTGAGAGGCAAGAGGTTGGCTCACAGGAGTGGCTGCAGTGTTTGACCACAGACTCTGCAACCTCAGTGGAGATTCTTGGTGACAGCGTTCCATGCGAGGCAGACTACAGATTTCGGATATGCAGTGTCAACAAATATGGAAGGAGTGGGAATGTAGAGTTTCCTAGAGAAGTTCACCTTGGTAAGCTCCTATTTAAGGCTATCCATTGCATACACAAAAAAGCACTAACAAATTTCATTCTCAATTCCAGTCCCAGTTGCCAGAATCCAAGCACCTCTACAAGACGCTTTAGTGCCAGAGGGCCAGGATGCCTGCTTTACCATTGAACTCTCTGCCTCAGTTATAGGCACTTGGTTCTTAAATGGAAATCAGCTTCAAGACGATGATCGTTTCTCCATAAGGCGTTCGCGTACACACCAGTCCCTACGCATTCGTGGGGTACGGGACACAGACAACGGATCAGAGATCACCTTCATTGCCTACGGAATTCGAGATTCTGCTGCTTTGTATATACAAGGTATACACTTAACTTTGATTTCCTTGCACCGAGATATATTTATAAGAATATTAACTGTTGTACTTGTGATGTTGAACTTGCTTGTATATTCCCATCAATCAGCTCCACTGGTAAAATTCACTCCACTTTCTGAAATGGATCGAAACAAATTTGTGGAGGTTGGCAACCCTATTGTGCTCTACTGTGAGCTGTCAGACCCTGAGGCTCCAGTTCGTTGGTATAAGAATGGTGTTGAACTTCAATCAATGGAAGGTCTGCACATCCAATCAGAGGGAACAATGAGGAGGATTGTCATCCAGACAGCTGATTTCTCCCACTCAGGAGTTTATAGTTGTGATGCTATTGATGACGTCATCAGGTTTAACGTGGAGGTTGAGGGTGAGTCTTTTCTGTTCTTACTATTCCGTTCTTCTAAGTTGTTAATCAGCTTCATAATGTTGACATGTCGGAAATCTAAGAATGAAGGCATTTATTAATAACATTCATTTGTATTCCTATGAATCAAAATCAAATGAGTATGTCCAACAATGGAATCTTGCACTTCCAAGTCTCTAAAGTTTACCAAATAATGCTGAACCAAAACACATATAGCTCCACCGGTGAGGTTCTCCGTTCTTCCGGAGGATGAGAGGAACAAGTCCATTGAAGCAGGCTCACCGATAGTACTGCAATGTGAGCTCTCAGATCCACTCACCCAGGTCTCCTGGTATAAAGATGGTGTGAAGCTTCTACCACAAAGTGGACTAGACTTCAGGTCCAAGGGCACAAAGAGGCAACTGATTGTCCAGTCAGCTGAATTTTACCACTCAGGGGTGTACAGCTGCAAGACAAGGGGTGATGCTGTACACTTCAATGTGGATGTTAAAGGTGATTAAAATGTTTACTAGTGAATGAAATTACAATTTTATTTTGCCTGACAAACAATGGCAGATTTGATTAAGATCTGTGGCAAAGTTGATTAAGAGTAATTACTCAATGGCAAAGTTGATTAAGTGTAAGATTAAGACTAAGATTAAGATTTTTTTGTTATATTAATAATAATGACTATTAAAACCATAAAGTAAGGACTTAAACGCTCTACAATATCCATAGCCCCACCTGTGAGGTTCTCTGCTGTCCCTGAGGTTAAGCGGAGAAAGTGCATTGAAGCAGGCTGCCCCATTGTTCTGCAGTGTGAGGTTTCAGACTCTACTGCACAGGTCCAGTGGTACAAAGATGGGGATCAGCTCCTTGTAGAATCTGGAGTAGACTTCAAATCAGATGACTGCATGAGAACACTCAGTATTCAATCAGCACACCCGTCTCATGCCGGTGTGTACAGCTGCACAACAAAGGATGATGTCATCAAGTTTCATGTGGAGATACGAGGTGATTTTGACCAAATTTATTCCTCACTTACAAATTAACTATATGTCTTCTTGCAATTATGCCACTAACAATCACTGCTTTCTGTATTGCTCTTTTGTCACATTCTTTAGTACCTCTGTCACCATTTTCTGCTTTAGCTTTACAATTTTGGATTATCTTTTCATTATGTCATGATGTTCTTGTATATTCAGCTGTTACGTTATCTTAAAGCAATAGGTCTTTTAATCTGGCTAATTTCTTGTAATTCTTGATGATTCTGATATAAACCATCATCTGTAGCTGCACCGGTGAGGTTCTCAGCTGTTCCTGAAGCTGAGACGAATAAATGCATTGAAGCTGGTGGCCACTTTGAACTTCACTGTAAGGTCTCAGACCCTACAGCCCAAGTCAGCTGGTTCCACAACGATACGCAGCTTCAGCCAGAGACTGGTTTGGATATTCAGTCAGAGGGAGATGTAAGGAAAATGGTAGTCAATCCAGCTGAGCCCAGTCATTCTGGATTGTACCGCTGTGAATCATCTGACGACTCTGTCCAGTTCACTGTGGATATCAAAGGTGATTTATGACTTTTTGAGAATCTTGTACATCCAGTAAAACTAGATGCAAACTAACAATCAAGCTTTTTGCTGTCTGCGTCTCTTAGCGGTGCTGTTATGGACATGCTTCTCACCATTGCATCCAACTTGTCGGCAGTGATTTGATACAGATGTTACATGTTTTGCATTATTTAACTTGCTTCTTGGCAGATGGTCTGAGAAATCACAGATAGGCAGTCTAGATGACTTTTTAATAAAGGATATTAATTATGTATATTCTTTAATAATGCAACGGATCACCCTTAGATCCACCGGTGATGTTCTCAGCATTACCAGACACAGTGAAGAACCAGCTTGTTGAAGCAGACTACTCCACTGATTTGCACGGTGAGATCTCAGGTCCAAATGCCAATGTGTGTTGTTACAAGGATGGTGTAGAGCTCGTCTCAAAAAGTCAGCCTCATATCAAATCGGAGTGTACCAGGAGGACGTTAGCTGTCAAGACAGCACAGCCCTCTAACTCTGGATGGTACGACTGTGTGAGAACTGGTGATGTCATCCAGTTTAATGTACAAGACCAAGGTGATTTTCAAATATTTGCTCCTAATATACTTAATGTTTTTGTGTGACAACTAACAATTGTGTGCTTTATGTAGCTTTTTTTTTAAATCTCTTTAAATGTATTCTGACAATGTTACTTGTATGTCCTTGGCTTCAATGGCCATAATTGGTTCTGTCTTTCTGAGTTTAGAAAATTAGTCACTTACAATGAATAAAGCATTCCTCTGTCAATGGTCATCTGTAGTGCCACCACCAACATTTTTGGCTGATCCTGAAGTTGAGAAGACCAAATGCACTGAAGAAATGGAACCTGTTGCACTACATTATGAAATTTCAGATACCACTCCATATGTCAGCGAGACACAAGAAGAGAAGGTCATGCCTTCTCAATCTGAACCTAAATTTAAACCTGATTTGGAACTTGAATCCAAATCTGAATCTGAACCTGAAGTTCACTCAGACGCATCCAGAGGAACTGTAATCATCCACACACCAGAGACATCTCTTTTCGAAGTAAACAGCCAAAAGACACCAGATGATCCCATCCCGTTTGAAATGGACCAAGGTGGTTTGCCACTTATTTGTACGCCATTCTGAATTAGGAGCATTAACATGGCTGAAGCAAGTCAGTTATTGTTTTCTTTGTGGCTTTTCTAACAGCAGAACTGTCTCACTATGAAGTGTTCAGTGGTGAGACCTATGATGACTCTGTCCAGTGCACTGTGGATATAAAAGGTGATATAATGCTACCTCAATCCAAGCATTTAACCCAGTGCCTCTGTGCCACTAACAAGGGTGGTTTTAACTATCCAATGGCTCTTCCTGGAGATGCTGGTCCCCTGCATCTTGGTTACTGTCCCAAAACTAATCCATGCCATCATGTCTTTATCCAACATCCAGTTGGTCTGCAAACCTTTCTTCCAAACTAACACTCATTCAATAGACTTACCTATCTTCATTCTTCATTGAAGCACATTTAAACTTAAACTGTATACGTCTACATTTGCTTGAGTCATCTTGTCCATGTGTCATTCAGAATCATCATCAGTATTGTCTTGACTGAATTATGTTACAGAGAGCTGAAATACAGAATGAATAGTTGAGTGAATGAAAGTTGGTGATATGACTTCTTGTGTAACTGTGTTTTGTTTTTAATATGTGTTTTAACCACTGTTTGGCTTCTTTTAGACCACTATGTGATATGGTCATCACTCTTACATTTTTACAATCTTGAAATACTCTTAAAAATTAACCAGCTTTTCTGACTATGAAGACAGAAAAGAACTTCACCTTTTCTTTGTGCAAACAATTCAACTATAGAAGAGTTCCTGAGAACATCAGGAACTGAGGCTGAGATCAGATCTGAAAAAGAGAACAACAATCTCTCAGCGGAAAGATCTGGAGAAGAGATTCAGTGGGATACCCCAGTGTCTGTACCTACAACCTTCAGATTGATTGAAGAGGAACAACAGCCACAACCAATGCTACAGCTACAACCAATGCTACAACCACAGCTACAACCAATACTACAACCAGAACTACAACCAATGCTACAGCCACAGCTACAACAAATGCTACAACCACAACTACAACCAATGATACAACCAATGCTACAGCCACAGCTACAACCAATGCTACAACCACAGCTACAACCACAGCTACAACCAGAGCTACACCCACAGCTGCAACCACAACTACAAACAATGCTACAACCACAGCTGCAACCAGCAAACCAGATAAATACTTCAGTTTCTGAAGATGAAGGCTCAAATCACATCACAAGACAAGAGAGTGACATGGATCAAGATGTCTTAGCTTTTAAGGTGGATGTTGAAGGTGATTTAAATAGTTAGCTCCATCATTCTGCAAATAATGATGGGAGCAAAATATATGCCATTGACATTTACCACCTAACAACCACTTAACGTCATTCTTCCCTATTCGGATCCATTACTGAATCTGAATAACTCCGAAAACTTCAACTTACTGACTTAGATACAAAAACAGCGTTTTATAATTATTTACCTGTAGAATTCCATCACCAAATATTTATCTAACAAAGATCACCTCACTAAAAAAATTATATTGTATCATCTAACTTCTAGCCAAAATCGTGTCATTTTAATATATAAGTAATAAAAAAGATACAAGCCTATAGTAAGATTATTGATTGTAAAGCTATAAATAAGTGCAGTTTATTTAGCTTAGCTAACGTAAAGTATACAATGTAATGTGTCATAACTGTAATACATGTCTCTTTTCATATAACTTGAAATATCCATAGCCTCGAGGACAAATTCCACACCCGTTTGTGGAATGGATGAGAACATTGATGCAGACTGTTCCAGTGTACTGCTAACTGAGAAATCCGACCACACAATCCAAGAAAAACCTATATCCTGCCAAGAAGATGAGACAACCGTAATATTCAATAAACCTACAACACAGAAAGAGCTCATCCAGTCATCAGAGATGTGTTTGCAAGAAGCATATGAGACTGTTACCAAGGATGAATTTGTTGTACATCAAGAGGAAGTGAAAGGTGACTCAAGATTGTTTTTAACACACCATTAATGATCAAAAGCAACTAACTTTGTCTGGCTTTTGCTTAAATGTCCTGTACCCTAGTCAACCAAATAGTTTTACACTTACACTCTTAATAGATAACTCACGATAAACATTGCTTTGTCTCCTCAAAACTGAAGAACCTTGTCATAAAGCAGAATTCTTTACACTACCACCAGAAGATGAAGTTGTCAGACCCATTGAAGGTGATTCTCCAGTTCACTGTTACAAGGACAGAATGCAGTTCTACTCTGAAAATGGACATACGCTTGAGGAAAGTGTGCGAAGACTGAATGTTCCAGTTATAGGCTTGGGTCAATCAGGCGTAAACAACTACAAGGCAAAGAATGATGACATAATATTTAAGGTGGATGTCAAAGGTGATTTTAAACTAAATTAAATCCACACTGCTACATCAGTTCCAGTCATTTAATCATATATTAAAATCAAAGAAAAAAAACATGAAATTAAATTACTAGATCTAAAAAAAAAAACATTTAATACTGTTATGTCACAGCGGAACATACAGCTGCCAGACAAACAATGATGCCATCTCATTCCATGTGGAAATCAAAGGTGATTTGATGTTTTCTTTCATGAAGACACCACATGAGTTGTGTGTATACTGAGCAAATCAAGCAATCTCCTTTATAACTATGTATTGTGGATATTAAGAAGGCAAATATTTAGGCCTTCATCCCTTAAAAGTAGTGTTTACTGATTGTCACTCAAGCACATACATTCATAAATAGGAAAAAACAACTTATTAGCCAGTGATTTTCCACTAAATCACACAGCTCCTTCTCTATGCTAGGGGTGGGCGATATGACCAAAATCTTATTTCATGATATGAAAAAAATCCTGATAACAATATATTACTATATAGTAATTTTTGTTATTTTATTATTCTAACTCATTAAAAATAAGAAGCAAATTACAAACAATAGGAAAAATATAACAAAGGGACAAATTAAAATATTTTTTCAAGTACAGTAAGTATTTAATGTGCAGTAATAAATACTACAGAAACTGAATAATCAAATTCAGAAAAAAAAACTGCATAGTCTTCACTATATTATTTAAATATAAATTTATTCTTATTAAGCTACAAAAGAGCAGGAAGTTATTTAATTTTTTCTCAGATTTATATTAGGCTGCTGTCACTTTAAGACCAAATGCACGGTTCAAATATAATGACATACATACAGTTTCCTCTCAACTGTCTACATTCACTTAAGACATAAGCAGCTGTGTTTATGTGAATATTCCACACAATGGACATTTTGACATAATTGTGTCTGTATTTATTTTGACCATTCAAGTGCAATAAGATACAAAAGAAAGCAGAATTCGCAATTGCATGCCGAGAGGCGGTTTTCTGTGCATGCGCTTCAGCTGTGACAGTCAATGCGTGACCACTGCAATTAGTTATTTTTCACAGCTTATTGTGTTTAATAACTATATTTAACATCATGCACGTCCCGAATTTGTGATCGCATGGCGCATACTGTCTGAGAGAGGTGGCTTTCTCTGCGCGTGCTTCGCAGGTGTGTCAGTCAGTGCGAACACAAATACCGTAATATACACTATACTAGTGTTGTCAAAAGTACTGACTTACCAGGTACCAGTCGGTACTGCAATTTTAAAAAGGTCCATTTCCCGCTAACATTTGAGCGCTGTTGAGCGGATTCTTAAACACCGCTGATTGGCCATAGTGTTCATGCGCACAACAGATATGACTGTGATTGGCTACAATGATCATCGCTTCATGCTCTTCACCGAGCGCTCACACAGAAGCACATAGGAGTGTTTGAAAGCCGTGTCTATCAGTGCGGATCCGTCTATGTGCAGATATATTAGGGATCCGCTGATAGTCATGGCCAATCACAATCATATCTGTTGAGATCGTGAACACTATGGCCAATCAGCGGTGTTTAAGAATCCGCTCAACAGCGCTCAAATGTTAGAGGGAAATGGACGTTTTTAAAATTGCGGTAAAAAAAGTTGGTACTTTTGACAACACTACACTATACTAGAGTTAAGTATCTAAAGATAGACAATTTATACTGTACCATCGCCACAATATATAGTGTCATAACGCCCAGCCCTACTTTATGCCATTCACACCTTTGTAGCTCCATCCCTGAAGTTCATGCCAATTTCAGAAGTGGAGAAGAACAAGTCCACTGAAGTAGACTCACCAAATGTTCTGAAATGTGATCTATCAGACGCTACCACAGAGGTGCTCTGGTGCAAAGATGGTAGAGAGCTGGTCCCAAACCCTGGGCTCAATTTCCAAACAGATGGAAATATGAGGAAACTAACTGTTCAATCAGCAGAGCTGTCTGATACTGGAAACAACACCTGTCATGCTCCAGGTGATACTGTATCATTCAAGGTGGACGTTCAAGGTGATTTTCACAACACTACCACACAATTAACTATTGTTTCATGGCACATTAGATATTTCTTTCATTTCTAATCACTCCTGTTGAAAAACGTACCTCATGTAAGATCTTTACCATCCCCTGCTTCTCTCACTTCTTGATAACTGAATAGCAAACCCTGTGACTAACACATTTGTAGTTTAAGACTGCCTAATTGTCTTTTGAAAGATTTGAAAACGATTCATGTTTTTGGCACAAATTAATTTGTCAATAATCTACTTTTTTTTAATTTTCCAAATTTTCATAGCACACCCTGTTAGGTTCTCAGCACTCCCAGAAATTGCGAGGAACAAGTTTATCGAAGCAGGCTGTCCCATTATACTTCAGTGTGAAATCTCAGACCCTACTGCCCAAGTTTCCTGGCTCAAAGATGGAGTCGAACTCCTACAAGACAGTGGGCTTGACATCCAGTCAGAGGGCACTATGAAGAGAATGATCATCAAATCAGCTGAGCTCAAAAACTCAGGCGTGTACAGCTGTGAGGCTGTAGATGATCGCATAGCATTCAAGGTGGATGTTGCAGGTGATTTTGAGTCTACATACTTTCTCAAAACCACTAACAATGAGTCAAATAACGCTTCATCCACTAAATGCTGTTTGCCCTTATCAGAGTTTAACAAAATAAACATTCATAACCAAATAATCAAAGCCCCTCTTGTTAAACACTAAAATTATCTCCTCGCCACTTTTGCTGACACAAACTGTAAAAAGATTTATAATGGTTTTTGAACATCTTCCAAATCACTTACTATACAATATTACTATATTGTATAGATAATGTCACCTAATTTAGACATGCTCATTAACTTATATGCTCAGAAGAATACGCTTCAGAACTACAGTAGCAAATAACATGAGATACGATGATATTCACTCTGAATCAGCAAAATGTCTCATTCATTAGCCATACATAAGTTTGAATCTTTTTCATCATTGCATTTCATTAGTTTTCATATCTTAGAAAGGTTTTTTGGTAATTCTATGAATTTGACTGAACAAAAATCCTCTTAGCTCCACCAGCGATGTTCTCAGCTGTTCCTGAGATTGAGAAGAGCAAGTCCGTTGAAGCAGGCTGGCCAATCATTCTCCAATGTGAGATATCTGATCCTACAGCCCTGGTCCAATGGTACAAGGATGGATTACAGCTCCTACCTCAATCTGGGGTTTACATCCAATCACAGCACACCATAAGGACACTGGTTATCCAATCAGCAAATGTATCCCACTCTGGGTTTTACAGTTGTAATACTGCTGATGATATCAGCGAATTTTTTGTGGATGTTAAAGGTGACATACAATATCCAAACTATTCTGTTATATAACTAACAAATACATCATTTTGTAGAGTTCCGTTTTCATTGGGTGAAAGCATTCTTCTCTACCTTTCAACAGATCCATTCTTGCTGCTTTATGGGCTCCTTAACCATTTCCCTAATGCAGGAATATATCTGAAGCTTCACAAGTTTGTTTGCAGCATTTCCACCAACTACTACTATTCTTAAATGCTATTTAACCAGCATCTTGTTTCTCTTTATTTTTAAAGAAACCATTTATGCTGGGCAAGCATGTAACCTTTATTGTCTGTGCTTAACAGCACTTAATTCTCACAAAGCTTTCATTAACTGTATTCTCTTTTTCTTTGTATTACATTTGGCTTTTAGAGTGGAGAAAGTTATACAGGGCTGCCCATGCAATCATCATCAGTGCTTGAATTGCATGCTTCTCGTCATACTTGTGACAAATTAAAAGCAGCACAACATAAAAATTAAGGTCCATTTCCTTTTCATTGCAGCACCTCCTGTGACATTTGCCTACATACCAGAAGATGATCTGCACAGAAATATTGTGGAACAAGACAATCTACTCCTTTGCTGTCAAGTGTCCAGGTCAGATGCTACTGCACAATGGTACAAGGATGGAGTAGAGCTAAAGCCTAGTGACAACATCCTCATAGAGGCAGAAAACACTATACGAAGGCTGATCGTCCTGTCAGCTCAACTCTCAGATTCTGGGACGTACACCTGTCGTGCTGGAGATAGTGCATTAATATTTAAAGTTAACGTAAGAGGTGAGTAAATATGTCTATATTCATACCAACAACTCGAAATCTGATCAGATTTACAAGGCTGTGTAACTATTTTCTTTTGCTTCACAGAACCTCCAGTGATGATTGTATATCCCAAGGAAGATGTCCACCTTGATCGCTATGTTCCCGAAGAAATTGTCCTCAGCTGTGAACTTTCACGGCCAAATGGAAAGGTGACATGGTTCAAGGATGGACAGAAACTACAGGAGAGTGAAAACATAAAGCTAAAGTCAGAGGGTCCGTACAGACGTCTAAAAATTCTGCGCAGTGGTGTTGAGGACTCAGGAGAATATGTCTGTGACACAGCTGATGATTCAATATTCTTCAATCTAAACATTAAAGGTATCAAATTTAGGTTTAAAATATATTGCATGTAGAGATTTCTGATGTCAGCCAGAAGGAAAGTTGTTGCAGCAGATCAGATCAAGATATTCAGTTGGATAACAGATTACGAAGACATGCATTGATGAATTTGCATGAAGTGAGAATGATCAGGAACATGCATTAGGAAAGTAACATGTTTACATGTTTCCCTATAGAACCACCGGTGCGCATAGTTTCTCCAAGCCAGTCCCAAATGGAACTTTGCCAACAGACTTCTGAGAGGATGGTCCTGAGCTGTGAAATCTCTAGACCAAACGCCACTGTACGTTGGTATCGAGATGGACTTGAAGTGGAGGAGAGTGACAGCCTAATTCTGGAGGTTGATGGTGTCTATAGGAGACTTATTATCCCAAAACCTACCGTCAAAGACTCTGCAGAATATGTCTGTGACACTGCTGATGACTCAGTGACCTTCTTTGTAAACATCGCAGGTGTGTCAAAGACCAACTATTTAATAATCCATAATAATAATAATAAAAACAGCTTCAGTTCTCAATGTCCATAATGACTTTATTTCTTCATGCAGAGCCACCAGTTAGATTTATTCGGCCAAGGAAAATGGCCTATGGAGTAGAGAAACTTGTTGGAGACATTGTGGTTCTTGAGTGTGAAGTGTCTCGACCAAATGCTGAAGTTAGTTGGAAGAAGGATGCAGAAGAGATTGAGGAGAACAGCAACATAACTATCACAGAGGATGGAACAAGTCGACAGTTAACCATTCACTCTACAGCTTTTGAAGATGCAGGGCAATATATCTGTGATGCTAGAGATGATGTGATGGATTTCCTAGTGAAAATCAAAGGTACATTTCTATGATAAGCAGATTCAAATGCTTTGATGAATCCATCACTGCAACTAACTAAAATTTTACCCTCTTTCTTCCAGATCCACCACTAAAAATTCTGCGGAAAGCTGACATAGAATCAAAACGCAGATTTGTAGTATCTGATGCCATTGTGTTAAAATGTGAGATCTCAAGACCAAATGGGGTGGTCAGTTGGCTTAAAGACAATGAGAAGATTGAGGGAAATGAGCAGTTTATCTGTGAAGAGGAAGGGACATTCAGATCCCTAATTGTCCTGAGCGCTGAGTTGAAGGACTCAGGGGAGTACATATGTGATGCACAAGATGATAAAGTTGTCTTCAGTGTTACTGTAGAAGGTACTGCTTGTTAAAAGGCAATGTAAACAATGAAAAGCATGGACATACTCGTTCAAAGAAAATATACAAAACTTAACCATTACCTGTGCCTTTAGCTTGTCACTGGGGCAGTACCCTCAAAAGTACACTTTTGTATCTTATTTACCCACTTATGGTACCATTAGGCATAGATAAGGTACACTGTACCTTTAAGGGTACTGCCCCATTGACAAACTTCTGTTCCCCCTAACGATTTTTGCACAAATATTTTTGACAGTGTACTTTAAAAATAACTAATTCTTTTTGCTCAGAGGCTCCAGTGTCTATTGTTGGAAATTCAGAGAAGCCAGAACACCACATTTTAATGACAGGAGATGAGCTTATCCTGGAATGTGAGGTATCTCAAGTAAATGCTATAGTCCAGTGGTACTTCAATGGACGTTTACTGCAAGAGGATTCACGCACACACATTGAAAGCAGAGACACAACGAGGAAGCTTGTGATATCAGAACTTCAGACATCCAACTCTGGAGAGTATCTTTGCGATGCCATTGATGACAAAATGACAACTAGACTAACAGTTCAAGGTAAATTTACCAGTAGCATAGCCAAGAAAACCCAATTTCAAACATATCAATTAAACCACTCTGCATACAATCACTAAATATACAATTTTTTCATAGTACCACCATTCAAATTTATCAAAAAAGATGAAAGAACAAATATTTCAGCCTATGAAGAAGACAGTGTGACACTACGTGCCACTGTTAACAGGGTCAATGCCCCAGTTATATGGCAGAGAGGCCATGATCCAGTCAGAGGTGATCGTTTCCACACAACAAGTGATGGTAACACCCACTACCTCACTATTAACCCACTTAAGAGAAGTGATACTGGAGAATACACGTGTCATGTGGGATCTGACGAGATGCATTTCAGTGTCCATGTTAAAGGTAAGACCAGGGAATGGGCTGTGAAATTCTACAACTCTACAAAGTGTTATATGTGACTGCTTGTAAAAGATCTCTAGTAAAGTGTTGTCTAAATTGTTTCCTAATCAGCAATGAAAGTGAAATTCTCCAAACCACTAGAAAACGTAGTGGGACTCAAAGGTAGTGATGTGGTTTTAAAATGTGAACTGTACAAGTCAAAAGGGGATGTTCAGTGGCTTAAGGGCAGCCAAGAGATTGCACCAAACAGACATTTTACAATCAGAGCTGAGGGTCGAGTGAGAAGCCTGACAATACATGATGTCACAGAAGAGGATGCAGGAGAGTATGCTTGTGAATCTAAAGATGAAAGGACATCAGCAACTGTAGTGGTCAACAGTAAGTTAAATTCTACCAAAGGACTTTCGTTAATCTGCATAAAGCTTGACCTAAAATCATGAATGAATCACATATTAATTTAGTGCCAATTTCCTTCTCTTCTTGTCCCAAGTTCCTCGCATTGTGGAGTTTATTGCAGAGCTACACAACATAACTGTCATGGAAGGAGAAGACGCAATATTTAAGTGTGTGGTATCTCCAGAGGATGCAAAGTTGGCCTGGTTTAAGAATGGCCAACCAATTTCATCAAATGAGAAGTTCGACATCTCAAGTAATGGATTATGCCATATGCTGCATATCAACAACTGCCAAGTCTCAGATAGCTGCAAGTTGACAGCCGAGGCTGAAGGTGTGATTTCCAGAGCTATCCTACAGGTCCAAGGTAGAATACCATCCATTATTATTTGACTGCTTTACTTGATTTTCGTTTGCTTACAAATCAATCAAAATGCGACTTATGAACATGTATTCTTAGCATCAACCTATGAAGTAACCAATTAACTAATGGGTATTTTTCTACAATTTTCTTCAAAATAATATTTGGAATGCAGAGAGTGATATATTTTAAGAGCCTGTGCAGGTCTTTAATGCCATGTCAACATGTTTGAGTTTAATAATGACCCTTTCAGACATGCCTGAATTTTTGAAAAGGTGCTTATGATGGCTTGTGCTTAACAGCTTCTCCAGTTAGAATTCCACTCTTAACTGACAGAGACAAGTGTTACTACAGCACATAGCAATGTAGAATGAGGAGCTGTACTCCAAGCACATGAAATAATGTCATTCTCATTGGCTCTGCTCGTTGGTTTTCAAATATAAAGACTTTTCTAAAGTGTTCAAATGCTATGGGAAAAGATCTTATCATTTAACCTTATCTGTATTCAGAGGCACAGGTGCTTTTCACGAAGAGCATGGACCCGGTGGTTGCAGAGGAGTTTGGTGAGGCAACACTTGAGGTGGAGGTCAGCCTTGAGACTGCGGAGGTGCAGTGGATGAGACAAGGAGTGGTTATACATCCAGGGTCCAAATTCACCCTGAAGCAGAATGGCCAAAAACGTTCTCTCACAATCCACAAACTCACCCTTTCAGACCGCGGCACCTACAGCTGTGAAACGCTTCATGACCGCACACGAGCCAAGCTCACTGTGGAACGTGAGTCTGCACTACTGCTTTCTTTCTCACTATGTGTTGTTGTTAGAATTTCTTTATGGTGATGGTCCCTCATTACTGCCCGTTGCGATGTTGTTGTCTTAAACAAACTGAATCAAGTGACCAAGAGTAATGCGAGCAGGAGGCAGCTACTTTAGTGACACTGGTTCCACGGTTTGACAGCAGCAAACAGGTGACTGGCACACTACTTACTGAGTCCTGGGGAACAGCTTTCTGTATTGACATTAGATCAGAAGAGTTATGATAATTTAATTAAGCATGCCAAATGAGAACTGGATCAAGAGCTGGTAAAAGGTCCTGGCTAAGTAACCTTTTAATTCCTCTTAGTTGCCTGTGAAACACAGATATTTTGAGAGGAGGATAAAAGTTTCATGTGGCTCTACTCACAACTGATTTCCATTGCCTTCAATATATTTATTAGCCAGTCTTATTTCAAACCTATCATACAAGATGTTCAATATCTCTTAACATAAATTTTCGAGATAAAATTAATTTACTCTTTAGAAAACAAGCAATTAATTACCAGTGATATACATTCCTTTCAGGATAGGTCAAGACGATGAAGCTGTGTTGTACAAATGAGCAAATGATGAGAGAAAGTCTGCACTTTGGCTGTTCCTGGCACCAACTATGAATCTGGATCTGTTTTCATTGCAGCTAAATTTATGCACTGGCCTTCAAAATCTAGGGTGGTGTCACCAACTCTCTAAAATAAACCCCTCTTTTCCACGGGGAATGCCTGTCTGCCTGTCTGTTTTGGAAAACTTAAAAAAATGTTGGCATAGCCCTGATTGAAGGCAGGATTTAGTGTATTGCAAACACCAAGCGGACAAAACCGTGCCAACTAATTCAACAACTGTTGCTCTATTTTTTCTCTTTATTACCTTTAGCTTTCATCTTAATCTCTCTTTCTTTTCTAAACAATTCTCTGATATCTAATTGCATCACCATTGAGAAATACTTTTTTTACATTTAACAACCTGTGCTTCTCGCACAGCACGAAAAATCAAGATTCAGAAAGGTCTAACTGAGATCCAGACTTACGAACGAGAGACGGCTTCTTTTGAGGTGGAGCTGTCACATGGCAATGTGGATGGTGTGTGGCAGAAGGATGGGCACATTCTCAAAAACAACAACCGCTTGCGTATGACTGCAAAAGGACGAGTACACAGCCTAACCATCTCCAACCTGACCTTGGATGACACTGGCACCTACATATTCTATGTTGAGAACATCAGATCACTAACAAGATTGGAAGTTAAAGGTACTGTGCAAATGAAAACTATTTTTATAGCAGAAACATAAAAGGGCAGTTCGCCCCAAAAGGAAAATTAAGTAATTATTTACATTATTTAGCAGGTGTTGTTCTAATCCTGTATGCCCTTCTTTATTTTTCAAACCACAAAAGGAGAAATGTTCTAAAATGTCTTCATCTACATACTGTAATGGCAGTGAAAAGCAACCAGCTACAAACTTGATCACAAAATGATCCCATGCAACTTGTGCTTTCTTCTCTGTAGTAAATTGTTGTGTTCCAGTTGTAGCAACAACAAAATGAGTTTGCATGTTCACATCATCAGCTTTCATTCTGACAACTGGAGTTCGGGTCTGGAGATACTCACCTCAGAGAAGAAAGTACAAAACCTAGTTTTTCTAGGTTTTGTGGTTTGTGTAGGGTTTTTATTCATTATTAATTAATTATCGCCAGTCACAGTGTAGACACAGCGTAACGTTACAAAAGCATGGATGAACATTATTTTTAAGGAAGCTCCAGATCTTGCCAGTAAGACAATGTTAGTTTGTTCACTTCATTTTATTGTGGATTTATTTTTAACTAATTATAACTAAATTCTGTTTTTTTTAATGTAAAAATCTTGTTAACATTCTAAGTAGACATCAGAGAACATTATAAAACTTTTAAAAAATGCAATTCATGACCTCTTTAACATCTTATGCAGGCTTACTTCTCAAGTAAATTCATCTTTCAAGGATTTTTTTAGACACATAAACTGGAAATTTAGATTTAAAATACTCATCTGCGATTCAGTGTTAAAATACTTTCTAGTTTAAAGTGGAAGGACAACTAAAAGTATGTAATTGATAGGCTGACTTCTATTTGGCTGTGTGGCACCTTTAAAACATTGCTTTGTTTATTTAAGCTGCCTGACATCAACTCCAGGCTCAACCGATGACATGAGTTCAGGGCAGGACAACTCTTATTTTAAAGGGTTATTTATTGTTAGTTTAGAAAACCTGTTTGTGAACTAGTGGTGCAGAAATTACACAAATGCTAAAGTGATTTAGCAGTTCTGTAAGATTTAGCCACTGGTTTAAACCACCCGTATGCCTTTAACCATACACCTTCTCTCCAACACCCTACCATACAAAAACGGGCACCCAAAATGATCTGAAACACATATCCAAAATCCTTAAATAACCTATGAAGTTCATGCATATACTCGTATTAACTTATAGCGTCAAGATATACAGGCTTGTAATAATCTGTATCTTGTTTCTTAATTGCTTTGGCAACAATTAACATATAAGGGGTGGAATTTGGCCATGATCAACAAGTCGTAGGAGGTAAGACAGTCCAGAGCAATGATGTAAGTCTCAAACTGGTTAAATTTCAGATGCTGATGACAGTACAATGGCATGGACAGACAGCTTTGCTACTGCTCTTACCATGTGTCAGGTTACACATATAAAAAGATACGGATCACATGATCAGACTACAGCTACTGAAACATTTCAAACATTCACAAGCATAAGGTGCCGGTGTAAGGTAATCTCTTCTATGCCAAGTCATTCAATAGGGCTTAGCATTTGGAGTCACAGAGCTGTCACTGAGGATGACAATAACGTGTAAACGCCACAACAACAAAGGACTCATCTCAAAGTCCTCTAGGCACAAAGCTGAGGTATGGTTAAACGATAAGCTCCTGTTGTACTAGACAGATTGATATGTACACAGCTGACTCATGTGATCTCAAAAGTCAAACGGGGCAACCAGAGGTAAATTGTCAAAAATAATAAGAAATATTGACTGGCTTTGAAAATCACAGCCTTTCAAATTTGATCAAAATGGTTTTGTCATTGGTTTTGGTTTTGCCTAATAAAATGTGTATATCTAGCATGTTTTCATGTCAAAAGCATTGTTTTCACATAGGCTGACAAGACTCCTTTGCTTCCTCAGAAATTCCAGTATCAATTCTGAAAAAGCTCGAGGATATCAGGCAACCAGAAGGATCTGGCGTAACCCTTGAATGTGAGCTCTCACGCCACAACGTGGATGTCAAGTGGACAAAGGTAAAATTACATGACATCCTCAGAAAACCCTGTTGTTGCTGTAAATTAAAAATCATAAAAAAGCCCCAAGCCAATAACTACTAATAATTATGTGAAAAACTTCTACAAAATGAAGGGGGGTGGGGGGGGGGTGTCTTCTTCTTTCAGAATGAAGTTCAGCTTAAACCAGGAAAAAATCATCGCATTTACTTGATGGGAAGAAAGTGCTTTCTACAGATACTGAAGTGTGAGCTGGGAGACTCTGGTTTATATGTGTGTGATGCTGGGGATGCCACTACCTCCTGTTCAGTGGATATCTATGGTAAGAACAGAAAGATTATATACTTTCCTGATTATTTAAAATTAAATCTTAGCTATATCTTAATCCCTGAATAAAATAATGCTGAAGTAATTCACTCTAAGTACAACATTACCATCTACTGGTACAGAGGTGAATTTAACAAAATGGGAAGCATTTACCCTTGATTTGTTTTAAATGAGTACATAATGAAATTATGCAATGCCTTTTTATGTTTATTAACATTTCAACAGAGAGGGAGCTTGAGATACTACAAAGCTTAGAGGATCTGGATATTCAAGAAGGTCAGAATGCAGTGTTCATGTGTGAAGTGTCCCTGGACGATGTGCCCAGAGAGTGGTTTAAGAATGGCGAGAAGATCAAACCAACCAGCACCATTAAGATTCGTCAGGAAGGTTATTGTAGCACCTGTTGCTAAACTTTATCCTCTTCCAAAAATGAACCACAAAATATTTAAATCAGTATCTGATCATACATTTTCTGAACCATTTTTTTTCCTACTTAGGGACAAAGCACTTCCTCCTTATATGCAATGTCAAAGAAGACGATTCTGGAGAGATCAAGTTTGTTGCCAAGAATGTTGAGACTACAGCTTACCTTGAGGTGGAAGGTCTGTATTTAGTTTAAGTCAAGCATTCACTACAAATCCAAAGCTAGTCACCCCCTTTGATGACAAGTCACAGATGCTATGACATTTCAAACTGGTTTGAAATGTGGCCAACCAGACGTTGGATATTTACACTGTTCCAACAAGTGAGAAAGCAGCAATGACCAACAACCAAAAAAAAGTTTTCAAAGCACTGTTTCATCTATATATATTTAGGCTATATACATTTTTGGTAACACTTTCTATGAAGCCCGTATTTATAATACATTATAAGGGTATTCTTAAGGCATTATAATGAATG